CTACAGCTCATAGGAGCACCAATACAGTCTCCGAGTTAAGAAATGCTAAATTCTATTGGAGGACTCCAAGCAACTCGGTGTTGTCCAAGGCAGGGATGTAGGTCAGGATAGCTGAGGGGAGGCTGGAGGGTGGGGACAAGGAGGACAAGGTAGGATCTGCAGAGGAGCATGCACTGTGTGATAAGGGTAACGGGAAATCACTGAAGTCTTTTCCACAAGAATCCTCGGCCAATTTGCAGTTAAGATAAATCACTCTGGCAACTCTAAGACTGGATGTGAAGGGAAGACTAGAGCAGGAAGATGAATCAGGAACTGAGCCCTTACCCCTGGCAGGGGGTGATGAAGAGTTGACCAAGGTCAGTCATAAAAGGTCAGAGGAGAGAAGACTAATCTCAGCAATATTTATAAGATAAATTGTAAAGACTTGATGACTGATGCAAAATGGAAAGTGGGGGAGGGAAAAGGAAGAGCAAATAAATGAAAAGACTGTGGTGGATGGTTCTTCTACTACTTGGGGAGGAAAGAAAAGAAGTAAAAAAAAAACAAAACAAAAACAGGAATAACAGAGGCAGACTTGAAGACAGTAACAGAGATTATGAACTCCAGTTTGGATAAATGAAATCAGACTTGGTATGGAACACACAGTTAAAGTGTCCTGCAGGCAGATACAGGTCTAAAAATATCCTAAAAACTCAGGATTGGAGATGCAGGTCTGGAGCTCAGCCACAGGCATATAGAGAACAAAGGAGAAACTTGGTGCAGTGTGGAAGCAGGAGAAGCGAGGCCAAAGGAGAGAGCATGGGAGAACCAATCTGAGGATCTGGACAAGAGCAGAAAAGCCAAACGAGACAGAAAGGAACCAGAGGTAGCTAGGGGGTGAGATGTCAGCTTTCAAATGCTGCTCAGTGAGGGGACGGAAGAGTGAGAAAACTAGTTCAGCAGCATCCTCTGAATAGAAGCTGGCTTACAAAGCCTGAGGAATGAACTCTAAGGAAGTAGAGTGAGTGTAAGCACTCTACTCCCAGCTTCTTTCATATTCACAGAAATAAACACATTACAGAAAATAAAAAGACTAGGTCATTTAAAATAGTTCCTTTAACACAATTATATACAGTACAAAGTATTATACTCCAGTGTGGTATATAAAATAAATCAGTTGATATAATTCCTCCACTTAAAGTTTACAGTCTATCTGAAAATAACATCATTTTGTCTGTGTATACTTTTAGTTACAGTTAGATAATGTGAATCTAAACTTCCTTGGAACCAATGACCTGCTTTATTGTCGTGTCCTTAATTGCTGTAATCAAACATGAGATTAACCAAATAAGAACATCTTTGCCGATTCCATATAAAGTAGGAGAGGTGCATCTATCTGGAGGGAGGAGACTGTAAACTCTTGGATGGTCATCTCACTGTGGATCTCAAATGCAGTACTTATGAAATTCACTCAGGGCTCGATGAGAGAGACTCCTATGTTCCATTTCAGACTCTGACTCTGTAGGCCTGGGGTAGGCTGAGGAAATCCACTCTTACGGGTACCTCTGGGGCATGCAGAATTGGCAGCCCAGGGAGCACCCTGCCCTAGTCCTTAGAGATGTGCATTCTCCTTTTCTAAGTCAAGTTATTGTGACCTTGAATGACTGCTCATTCTCAGGAAATGTCACGACAGAGCTGTTAATACATTTTCATCATTTTATCATCTAAAAATTATTGGCACATTCCCTTTAAAAAGGTCCCTGATTAAAAGAGGCCAGTTGAATAGAAATGCTTGATTTAAATGAACTCATTAGTTTAATAGATCCTAAAAGCAATGACTGAATCCTTACTGAGGGCCACGTTCTGGGCAAGTGTTTGGCATACGAAGGTGAAAATAAACAGAGTTGGGGTGGTAAACATACAATGTGATGATCATCTATGAAGAGCATCTAATTTTGCTGGGGGATAGGGGAGGGAGGAGGGCTTCCATACAAAGGAGAAGAAACCGATTTCCATGATCTGAAATGGGGAATGCGGAATGAATGACCATGCCCACCTGCATCCTCCCAAGACCAGTTGTATCAAGAGAGATCTTAGGTGGAAAAGCAATTTATGAAATGGTCAAGTGTGGTTACTATGAGCTTCTCAGTTTCTATGGGTGAAGACACTTTACTTCCTATAACTGCTTCCTCACCTCAATGCACTTCAGGCAAAAATCATCTTTTTTTATGCCTGAATTGTTTTTAAACCCACATGGGTAAACTGGATGCATTTTTAATCTTTCCTGTTCAATTGATATGCTCACTTTTTTGCACTCTGGAACTCCTACAGAACAATGTATTATTCTTAGTACAGAGAAGAATAGAACAAAGGAGTGGCCAGAAGGAGAACCCCATGGGAAAGGGGTGAGGTGAGGAGTGAGAAGACCACCGGTGTAAAAACTTACCACCTACCAAAGGATTCACCTGTGGGCCTTCCATTCAGGGAAATAACCAAACCCCCTACCTTCCCACACATCTAACACTCCTGTTCCCAGGGAAGACGAAGGACCTTGCCAAGATCTAGCTCTGTGGTCTTGAAAAAATGGCCTAAATCATCTGGACCTCATTCTCTTCATTTGTAGTAATGGGAGCTGGAAAGATCACTCCACACGTTCCTCTTCACCCTGACGTTTTCTCATTCTAGGAACGTGTGCTGTCATTGGCCCAGATTTGCCCTGGCCATACGGTCCCAGAAAGGCAGCTATATTGAGCTGAACATTTCAAGTGCTCAGCTAACCAACCACAGTCTCAAGTTTAAAGAAGGATCATTTTCAAATATCCCAGTTCCAATGCAATGTCTTTTCTCACTTATGCAAGTGTTTGAACACATTTAATGATCTGCAAGTTACCAGATACATAAAGATACACACACATATTATGTGCATTATATGTATTATGCTTTTACTCAACAGATTTTGTTTTCTGATTTCTTAAGGAGCAGGACATGTTTCTATTTTTATTTAATCTCCTTCAAGAAGATCCATGTTCTGCACGGGGTTCATATTTAGTGTGCATTCTCCTTTATCTGCAGGCAGACTGACTTACCCACAGATCACATTAACAGCCTGCCACAGCAGCTACTGGAGTTTGTATCTTCACGCATTCTCACATCGGAGGGGGGAAAAATCTTTCAAGTATTAATTGCACAAGCAAAGTAAAATACTTCCACTATCTTAGCATACACTGAATAAATCATTTCACTCCCCCAGTTCTTGTAGGACACAGATAAAATCAAACATAGCACCATGCCCTCGAGATGAAATTGTATTGATTAATCTTATTTTCCTTGAATAAGCAAATATCACATTCTGGATGATTTTTATAGGGACTAATACATCCATGAGGCATATTAATACTGTTTTCTAAGCAGTGCCATATATGCCGGTTTCAAAGAAGCCCATCAAATATAAGTCTCATCTGCTCACCTAGGTGGATCACAGGTGATGAGGAGCCACAGCTGCTGTTAATGTTAAGTATATGTCACAGACACTTGTGTAATTTTAATAAACGAAACATCTTCATACAGACAGACTTTTTTGTTGTTGTAGTTATTGCAGGAGCCTTAATTCAGGATGACAAGTGACCTTCAAAAAGACTTTAACACTATTAAGAGCAAAATTGATTTGGGCGGTTATCCCATAGAGAGGAGCTTGAGGGTGCAGGCAGGTGCTTGCCCCCTCCTCCCTCCTGGCGCTTTGATTTCAGGCGCTCATGGATGACTTCAGCGTCTCCTGTTCTTCGTGTTAATTCTAAGTGAAAATCACTAAGCGATGCACGGATAGGCTGCAGGGGCTTCATAAACACCCCCAGCCCAGGGCAATCATGCACAGGACATTTGACCCTTCCCCTGAACCGAGATCCCAGACATTTCCGAGGTCCTCAAAGAAAGCCCGCGGCTCAAAGAGGACGAGCGCTTTCTGGGCTCAGGCACTTGGCAGGACAAGGACCGCCTTTCGCACCTGCCTTTCGCACCTGCCTTTTCTGCTCACGGACTCCTCTGGCCAACTCAGAGCAGCTAAGTTTTACCTGGCCAGTTTAGCAAAACACCGTCCCTCCTCCTCCAATGGCTAGATCATTCTTCTAAATGGCAAACGATTAACACATAATTTAAATGTATTTGGCTCCCTCCCCCAAAACAGAGATCTAGCCGGGGGCAGTAACTACAGCTTTTCCATAAATGATAGAAATGCTAAGAGAACTTGATGGAAATCATCTTCATTACTTTCAGGGGCATAAAAGGCACCAATTAAACCCAGCACTTCCACCGACCTACTTGGTTTTACCCAGCTAGGGAGGATGGGGGGGTGTGTGGGGTGGGGGGAGGCGGGGAGCGGGAGCCCTGAATGAAGAGCCTCCGGTGGGTACCGAGCCGCCTACTTGGTCCAACACGTAGTCGCCGGGCTCCCAGACAATGGGGCTGACATTGTCCGGCGGGGGTCGCGGTCAGGGGTCAGTAGATCACTAGGAGAGGCAGCAGCCACGGAGCCCTCCTCCACCCCCTACATCTTTGTTCTCTGAAGTAGTCGCTCCTTTCCATGCCCGAAGAAAAAGGAACAAGGAACGATTCCCCTACCCCCCGCCGCCCGCACAGAGGCTGTAGAGGTGGCCACTCCGTTTCCCCATCTCCCTTAGCAACCGGAGGCTTCCCGGTCCCTCCGAACTGCCAGCCTCGCCCCCTCCGCTGGGCTAGATCCGGAGTTCAGCGGGTTTCTGCTCTCCGCTCCCATTCACACGCCTCCCCGCGCCCCTTTCCGGGAAAGGGACCTCCAGCCGCCTCCCACGCCCCCTCTCCGCGCCGGGACTCCGGACGGCACCCCGGGCACCAGCGACACAGGTGCGAGCACTCCGCACCCTCCGGGAGCCGCCGGCGCCGCGGGGTGGGAGAGCGGTGCTCCCCGCCGACCTCCGGACCCGGAGGCGAGGCTGCTCGGCCACCTGCCCGGCGCTGGGGACCGCGCACGGCGCCCTCCTCGCTCCTACCTGCGGCGGAAGGGTCCGCGGGAGCCCGGAGCTGCGGGCCGCGCCTTCGCGGAGGGTCCGTCCCGGGGGCGCCCGGAGAGCGGTCCGCGGCTGAGCCGGGCCGCGGGGCGCGGGGCGCGGGGCGGGCAGGTCCTCTGCGCCCGGGG